TTCTCTAGGCTAAACACCCCAGCTTCTATAACTCTTCCTCATTGGCCTTGTGCTCCAGACCCTTCCCCAGCTTAGTCACCCTGCTCTGGGCTCGCATACTTGTGTCTGGTTTAGCAGAACTGGCTGGTAAAACTCTTACCCACAGAGCACCATGACTCCTTTATGGGGGCTGCTTTGTGGTTGTGGCATAGCAGATCTCTTCTCCTGCCCCAGCTCCCTAGAAATCCTGCCCTGGCACTGCCCTGTGGCCAGTTACCATTGCCCTCGGGGCTGTGTACACCAGTGTTGGCTGGCTTGGCTTCTCCATGCAGTGGAACAGATGTCTGCAGCACATGCTGGTGATGTGCCTCATGTGCTGCTGGATGTTTCCAGCCTGTTACTGACTGTGTGACTTTGGTCTGCTCTCTGCTTGTGTACAGACACTTGGGGATTTTTCTGCAAAAAACATACGCACATTCCCTGCTTTTCTACTCCTTTTCATCAGATTTAAATGGTGCCAGGTAAAGCTTACAGGTTTTAACCAAGCAAAACAAAAATGATGGTGAAATGAAGCCATGAGTCTACAAGACTGACTGCATGTTTGCTACAGATACCTGAGGGCAAAGTTTTGGGTTTCGTTCATCTTGGCTGCTCCAGGATGCCTCTCATTTCACACACAATTTCAGCAGTTCTGAATGATGACTTTTGATCACTAGTGACATTTTCTTTATTTCCTAGTATGCTTGGGTTTCACCCTCCAGTTCCAGCCACTATTTCCACTATTTTCTACTTGGAAGCAATCCTCCACCTCACCCAGCTGTGTCTTCCTGCTCCTTCCAGTCCCTCCATCTTGAAACCTCAGCCCTTTCTCCCACATCTCACAAAGCCTTCTGTAGGGACAAGCTCCATTCCCAGCCCTCTCCTCCGCATCCGCATCAGCAGAGCACTTTCCAAGCCTCTTCCTTCCGTGCTCTTTTCTTAGGCTGGACTCCCTTCTCCAGCTCCCCCGCCACCTCCCCTGCACTCCAGCAAAACCCAGCACTCGCTGACTTCCTCCTCTGCGAGCGGCTGCAGCGGCTTCCTCTGGCCACGGCTGTCCCAGACACTCTGGCTCCGCAGCATACCCTCTACATGCACAGAAACACCAAACCAGGGCTTTGCTTTCTTATTCAAAAATGCAGCTCAGCTCAGGCAGCTGTGCCACTGAGGAAACCTGCAATGCCTGTCACCCACGGTGTGACCGCCAGCACGGACACCCCAATCGGCCCTGCCAGACATCATGACCCATCACTGTCAGGCATTTGCTCGTGTCCTTATCACCCCTGTCTCCTGCAGGGCCTCCTGGCACAGGATGATATTCTTTCAAACCAAATCTGATGTCAAGATGCAGATGCCCTGTGGTTTGCAGAGGGCACTAAAATTTTAATTGAATCCATACGAAAGCACTCTGCTTGGGTGAGAGTTTGCACAAGAGAGACAGGGAAAATTCTTCCAGAGTTAGTGTCTGTGGGCAAGCTTGGCCCAAGGCCCTGTTGGGAATGTGCTGGACAGACAGAGGCACCTCTGTCCTGGGGAGCCCTGCTCACTCAGCTGCCCCCCAGGTGCCGTGACTCACCATCCTGCACAGTTAGCGTGTGTAAGGAAGGGCAAATCCCTCCCTGAGAGTGGATCATGTTGGAGCTTGATTGGATCCAGGCTGCTCTGTGTGTGTCACCACCCTGAGCAGAGCTGTCAGGGATGGGGACAGGACCTGGCCACCTCTGAGCCACCGTGCCATGGCCAGTGTGGGGCTTCCAGGGAAGTCTGGGCCATCCCCGGCAGCCTGTGCCCAATCTGTGCCCACATGACTGCTGGCAAAGGGATAGCCAAGCTCTCAGTACAGTTCTCTCCTTTGATGCTGCCAGCTCCCAGGCAGATGTGTGTTTCTAGGTCTCTTGAACTCAGCAGGCTGGGAACAAGCTGCGACTTGGCACAGACATCCAAAGAACATCCAGATGTTGCAGGAAGTTCTGTCAGGAGGGGTCAATGTAGGACTAATTCAGAGCTGGTAAAGGGTCATGGTGCTGCTGGCCTCAAGAATCCCAAAGAGAAAGCTGCTTTTCATTTCCTGGTAGCTTGTGGCCACTAGAACCACCAGGACCTTCCATTCCCAGCTGCTGGAGTCTGAATGTCTTTGGCTGAGCTCACTTTTAATTTACTTGATTTTCTGCTGCAATTTAAACTAGAGAAGTTTCGTTGATTTCCTCCTTTCTAGGCAATGGTTGTGTAACACTCCTGGCTTGAGAGACCTGTTCTGTTCCAGTCCAAAGCAGCTGTGCTGCAGTGGTGGATTTTGGTGATCCACATTGCTTAGGTGGAGTGTTTGTCATCTGTCTGGACACCCTTCAGTCTGGTGGGGGAACTCTATGATGATAATGAGTTAAATGCCTTGACCTCATTTGGAAATTTTACTGGGGAACATGTGCAGAACTTGGCTGGCAAGGGGGAGGGATAATCAGCCTGTTCTTTACATTTCTGTTCACTTAAACTACATATGCTCTGGCACATGCTACCTGGGAAGCCTGGCATGGCTGCAAGCTCACCATCTCAAACAAACCCTGGGTCTGCCCACAGGATGGAAGACTGCTAGGGGAAGTGGTGCCAACAATGCTTTCTGTGCAGAGGTGTGACGTGAAATGTCTGGCTCTTTCACAGAGGGGTGGAAGGTGGAGTGACATGCAATCAGGAAAGCAATCTTGCATCTCTTACCAGAGTGGCTTGTGTTAGGGCAGTGAGGGGACATGAAGGCACCAGAGGGTGTAAAGAAGGATAATTGAAGTCAGGCTGCAGATGGAAAAAGAGCTTTGGGGGCCAGGATGCTCTTTGCTTGTCAGACAGAAGGTTGAGAATTGATTCAATCACTGTGATTCCACCTGGAAGAGAACTGAATGAGGGGAACTGAAGGCACTTTTGAGTCTTGCTAGTGAGCACAAGCGAACAGCATGAAACCTGGCAAACCCAACCTTGCAGTAAGGAGTCCACTGACACCTCACCTTTTCACTTTGTTGTAACAAGGAGGCATATTTTTCTGCATGATGTGCTTTGATTCAGCTACTGGCACTACTCTTTAGTGAAGTAAGTACGTGCAACAGGACAAACTTGCATGGTGTGGGGAATACTCTGTCCTCTGATCCAGCTCCTGATCTCCCTCTTCTTGGACATTATGGAGAGGAAGAACAGCTGCAATTTTGCTCAATGTGGTTATCATACACATGGCTGAGTCTTCAGAATATGACAGTAATACAAGCTCACGGCTGCTGCAGGATTAGGTGCATTCTAAGGGTAGATTTTTTGCTCATTTACCACTTCCCTCTGAAGTTCCCAATATGACAGTACAAAGTGACAGACTTTCACTTTGAAAGTTTTGAAAAATTTGAAAATTTGACAATTGAAGTGTTCCTGAAAACACACTTCTGCCTGTCTGATACCTGGCTGACTGGCCTTGCTGTCAGACCTCACGTGCTTGCAGAGGGTGCCCACAGATTGGTTCCTCCAGAAGGAAACAGAAGGAAATGAGTGTATGTCTGCAGAGGGTAGGATGATTCAGTGGGGAGTTCCCAGCAGCAGCCAGTGAAAGGATGCTGGGCTTACTGGAAATGCCCAGGTGTCATTTCCCCTGGACAGAGCACGAGCGTAGGCGGCTGAGCTGGCAGGTTGGACTCGTCAAAGCACAATTGCCAAGCAGGTCTCTCTTTTGGACTCAGTTTGAACAACCCAGCAAAGCCAGACTTTGTGTCCTGTGTGGAAGACAGGCAGAGGCCTTTGCCAGCAGCTGAATGCTAAACCAAAGGGAATAGAATAGAATAGAATAGAATAGAATAGAATAGAATAGAATAGAATAGAATAGAATAGAATAGAATAGAACTGAACTATTTCAGTTGGAATAGACCAATGATGATCATCCAGTCCAAGTGCCCAACTTTGATCAGCAGGACTGATCAGAAGTTAAGGGCATTGTCCAAATGTCTCTTTAAACATTGACAGCCTGGGGACATCAACCATCTCTCAAGGAATCCCGTTTCAGTGTTTAACCACCCTCCTAGAAAAGAAATATTTTGTAACATCAAGAGTGAAATTCTTCTGGAGCAGCTTTGAACCATTCCCATGTGCCCTATCACTAGATCCCAGGGAGAAAGGATCAGCACCTCCCTCTCCACCTCCCCTCCTCAGGGAGCTGCAGAGAGCAATGAGTTCACTCTTCAGCCTCCTATTCTCCAAACTGGAAATGCCAAAAATCCCCAGCTGTTCTTCACAGGACATTTTTTCCAGCCCTTTGATCAGCTTTGTTGCCCTCCTCTGGATGCATTCAAGTGCCTTAACAACTTACTTAAATTTTGGGGCCCAGAACAGCACATGGTTCTTAAAGTGAGGCTACACCAATGGTGAACACAGCAGGATAATCCCCTCTGTTGATGCATGGATTGCTTGTTGGGGAGAGGCTGAGGTGCTGCCATTCCCTCCCTGTTCCAAGACAAGAACATTAGAGAGGAACATCACCTCTGAAAAATCAGGTGGGAATGAGTGCTTGCATGCATCTGTGACAGCAAATACCTTCTGACACTTTGTAACAGCAAGAAAAGGCAGAGAAATGAGGAACACAAAAGAATGTAATTGCCTGGGATGCCTAGATTTACTGCCTCATAACTGATTTTCTTATGATCTGTTTATAGTATTCCAATGGTATGCACAAGCCTTTGTGCATAAAGTCTTAAAGAAACTACCTATGTTCATTTTACACATTGTCTGGGAGCTATTAGAAGTTACTAATAAGGGTGTTAGCCACTATCATGCTGAACTTCTAGTTACAAACACTGGCAAGTCCTGGCCAAAAGGATCGTGGACTGTTCTTGAGCAATAAGTGGAACTGTAACAAGAAAAGTGGTGCAACAGTTGTACATGGCAATGTTTCCACATCCCCTTTTGACTCTAGACTCTCTAACTTGCTGAGGGTCAAAGTGAACACTCTGTTTGAGGTTCAAAACTGTTTTTGTCCCCGGAGCAGAGGACAAGAATCTTCATTCATTTTGCCTTCCTCTACTGTAGTGAGTTGCAGGTTGCCTGGTGGTATCAGCCTAGCCCTTTTCTGCCACTGCTGAGGATCAGTCCATTCCATTTCCAGATTCTAACTGAGACATTATAGTCTCGAGATGATCAAGTTTGCATGACCAAGTTGCTGGATGCAGTACTCATGTGAAATCCAATGGTCTGTGATTGCCAAGCCAGGTAAGACAAACTAATGGCCCTTTCTGGTTCCCAGCTGCATCATATCTTGTGTTCATGTTGTTTTGTGGTTGGTGCTCTGTGTGGGACCTGGAGCATGGTCACTTTTGGGGTGTGTGGAGGAGAAACCAGGGTGGGTCACTCAGAGATGTCACATATCCCCACCAGGGAGGCTCACTTCAAGGGGAAGGTGGTGGGTGCAGTGGAAGCAAATGCCCTGTTATCCTTCCAGGAGGGCTCCTGAGAGCCTGAGGGTGCTGCACTTTGAAATCCCACTTGAGATTTCCCCTGGGTGAGCCAGATGGGTTTTCAGAGCTGTTTTCAAACTGCTCAAGAGCTCATGTATCTGCAGAGTGTGTGATGGACTGTGTCCACATGGAATTCCTACCAATACCTGTGATGTTTTTCAGGCATTTCCTTTCCCCAGTGCAGTCTCTCCTTTCTATCTCTTCTCCCATGCTGCAACCATGGACCCATCCCCAGCTCCAAGTGAGCTGTTTTGGGAGGGGAAGCAGGATCCCTGGGGCAGTCCTGGATGTTGGGTAGCTCCTGTCTCAGACAGTACCGTGAGTGCTGATGTTCATCGCTCACAGAGCACTGCTCACAAGGGAAACTTCTCACGTGTTCTTCTTGGCTCCTCTGTCCCCACTCACAGCAATTATGTGTCTGCTTCTTGGCCTTCATTTGTGCTAAGCTGTTGTGCCTCAAGTGAGTGCTTATTAGCACTTCCTTCTCTGAAAAGGAGTGACTGCAAAATAAGCCAAGGGTCATTTCCCTTCCCTTGAGACCAGGAGACATCCTGGCTTTTAAATCAGGCTCCATAAATTTCCAGCCTTAGCATCTCATGTGTTTTGCCTAGAGAGGGGTGGAGGTTCCCCTGGAGAGAGCAAGGAAAAGAAACTCCTTCTGATGTGACAGTACATTGCTTGAGCAAAATGCTTTTAAAGCATCTGAGACAGCACAGACCAGTGAAAAAAACAATCGTTAATATACCAAGTGTGTGAAATTAATCAGAAGAAGTGGAAAAAGGAAGTCACCATTTTCTATTTCTTGCATCATTTTTACTTGCATATCATCCTTCAGGGTTGGGCATCAGCAGGTGGAGCTGCTAAATATCAACCAACAAAAAATGCTGGCAGTAAATAAAATGCTGTTGTTGAAAGTCAACACAAATAGACTGTGATATGTGTGGTGAATAAAAATTTTTCAACTGAAAGTACTCTTAATATTTGCAGTGTCCACTATAAGCTCAGAAAAAAAAGGATTCAGACTAATGTCAGAAGCTTGAAACTTCTGCAAGTCCATAAAAATCCTAAATTTCCCAGCACATCAATTGCCTTCTCAGTACTACCCATGGGTTTCTCTAACCCATGCTGATTCCTTCTGCAAGAGATTCCAGTAGGAATAGCTGTCAGAGAGCAAGGTGGCCCCTAACAAGTGATATCAGGGGTACACGTTGGTGGGACGATGCTGCAGGGAGCTGTGATGGCTGGCTGGTTCCAGTGGTGAGGATGGTATCAGGACCTCAACAGGTTCTGCTCCTCTGAGGGAGTATCCCTCTAGTGCTTGTGTTTACATCCTGAGAGCAGAAACAAGGGCTGCACCAAGGACTTCCTCTCTGCCCCTCCCCTGGGGCTAGCTTTTCTTTTCCCCAAAAGTCCCTTGCCTTCATTGGGGCCTCTGTTTTAATTTCTTCTCTACAGACACATTAGTGATGTTAGAAGTTGCCATATTCATGACAGCTCATGGCTTGAAGAAGTCAAACTTTCTTAATCCATGAGATGCTTAGTGAGATTTTCACCCAGTCCAGAGCTGCAGCCCAGCCCACCTCCACCAGAAGGGTTCATGGAAGCAGATCATGGGTAGGAGACAAACACATGCCCAGAGTTATTTCACTCCATTCCAGAATGTCCTGCATGGCCATAGCAAGACAGCAGCATGAAGGTTTCATCCTCAGGCAGGGATTGGATCACCAACACCCCATCCACCAGCATAACCCACAAGGTGGGTATGTGGGATGAGCCTGATGTAGGAGCCACACCTGAACACAAGCTGTGTGTGGCAATACAAGACCCACTTCTGCCTGAAAATCCCAGCACTGATCGGGTATGGAACAGTCTCTGTACAGAGGAAAGCTGCTGCCATCTTCTCTGGTGACAGACAGGGCCACAGTGAGGGTGTGCCACAGAGAGAGAGAGGGAGAAGGAAAGGATTCAGCAGAATATTATTTCTTGATTCTGATCCTGCAATTAACAAAGGATTGTGTTTTTCACTTTCACGTGCCTCAACTCCCACCAGCTGCATGCACCCACCCACAGCATGTGTGCTGTGTTTTTATTACGGCTGTAGCCTCAGGTAGCGTGGAACTGGGGCCAAGCATACATTAGTAAAATTAGAAGAAATATCATCTGACGGGTCTGGACGGTGCTGTGGGCAGAGCATATTTGGCAAGACTGCTTCCTTCGCAATCCAGCCCAGAGACATTCCCTGATCCTATCTGAACAGGGACTGAACTTGCAAAACGAGTCCCAGCTTGTGAGCTGTGAGTCAGGGATGTCTTAAACACTGCCTCAGCATCCAACACCAACAAGCCCTTTTTATCTTGTTCATCCTGCTTAAATAACTGCAGCAAGCCCTCATGTTAATAGAGCAGCCTTAAGGGTCATAAGGCTGGGGTTTTTCACAACCTCTAGCACTTGCCCCTTGTGTATCTGGCCAGTTTTGACCCATTATTGTCCTTTTCTCTGGTTCAGCTAATGGGACTCAGCTGCACTGCTCACAGACAGTGGTTTGAAACCTGCATCTGCTCCATATGGCCACATTCATGTCCCTCACTGGTGAGCCACTCACTTCAGTGGGTTTTTTCTATGCATCAGACTTTGAAGGATGTGTGTGCTTAAAATCAAGTATACTTTCCAACATCTTTTGAATACCTTCCTAGTAAATAAAGCCTCCTTCATGACTCAAGGGATTTCATATACTGTCTGCCAGGGCAGGCCAGGACAGGCAGGAATCTGTGGAATACCCTGTGTTTACATCCTGAGATGGATGATATACCTCCATCATATCTGAGAAAACCTAGTTAGAAATGTTGGATTTGGGAACCCTTCATTGGAAAATGGTGGTGAAAAACATGAGGTCAAAGAAAGACAGGACTTACACTTACCTATTCCAGAAAATCCCAGCTGGTGTTGGTATCACAGTGGCTCAAACTCTCCTTGCCCAAGTTTCAGCGAGAAACTGCAGGTGTGAAGGCAGTATGGATTAATGACTGCAAAGGTGCATTCGCCTTGTTACTGGAAGATGGAAAGAGAAAATGTTATTGCTGTGAAGCAAAGGAATTTAGGAGAGAAGCTTGTAGCAACAGAGAATAGAAGCATAGTGCTTTATTCAAATGCAGAACAATGGAGACAAAAGGCTGATTCAAAAGGACTACATGGGATGTGCCTTCATTGCTTTAATTTATCTAACTTCAAAAACAGGCACATCACAGGGAATAAATGAGTCCTGGATGGTTATAAACAAAGTGCATTATTTTGTGGGGGAGAGAGGGTCATACCCTCATGTACCAAAGATGTACCAAGATTTACCATTCTCTCATGTACCAAGACACATTCAAATCTAAATTTCTCAGAAGGCAGGAGAAGGACCAGATTGGAAAGAAAATAAAGGCAGCTTGAAACTGGCTTTTATCTTAAATATATTTTGCTCTTCTTCCACAATACAGTGCAATGCAGCCTTCATGCCCCTTTTCTCACCTTCCTTTTGTTTTGCAGTATAATCCATTGCTCTTTACATGTCAGTACTGCCCACTGTCAGCACCACACACAACAAACACCATTCCCTTCTCATGGGCTTAGGATGACTTTTTCAGAGGTATCATTCAAGGGCCTTAAATATATTGGCCTTAGAGCTATTTTTACTTGCAAGTGCTTGAATCAGACCTTTGATGTTTCATTTGGGTAAAATAGAGAACACAATAAAATAAGCAAGAGCTGGTGGTTTTGTTCTAAGTGTTACCAGAAGCCAGGGAGAGACTCAGAAGAGGAAGGGAAGGGGATTGCCAAAGATTTCCGTTGGATACTAACCCTCTCCAGGGCTTGTAAATCTGTTCTGTAACCCTCTTAATCCCTCCTCCTGCAGGGGAATATGGTATCGCTGAAATCTTCATGATCTCCTGCAAACAAAGGTTTTAATGCAGCCTTTTGTTTATTGTCTCTGCAAAGAAAAAGGGGGTCATTTTTTCTCTGTAGCCTGAAGGCTCGGGGAAGTTACCAAGTGTCCTATCCTGCTCTGCTTCCCATCCAGCATTTTGACAGGCATGGACTAGTCAGTATCCAGACACCACCTCGCTGGATGTGCCAAAGGAATGGGGTCCATCTCATGAAAGTGTTCCAAAGTCAGGGTGGAGGGAAGCCAACCACAACTCCCCTCATCTGATGCCACCTAAATGCAAGAGAGAAGGAGACTGTCCTTTTCCAACCTCTGGATTGTACAGGGAATGATTCACATTCAAATCAAAACCTTCCTGTGACCTTGTCGTTGTGCTGCCCACTTGTGCTGCTTCATCTAATGAATTTTACTTACCTTTTACTCCATCTTTGAGCATGGGGAAACACCCATCATTGTCTATGCCTATTTCAGGGACACTATGTGTTAGAGGTGGACAGGTATAAACCTGTCATGTCTAATATGTCTATGTAGAAAGAGGAAAAAAAAATGTTTGTTTTTAAAAAAGGAAAAGGAAATCCTATAGAAGCCATTTAAAGTGGAAAATATTCTGTGAAGAATATTGGATAATAGAAAGTATAAAAGTTTGGAGAAAAATGAAAGCAAGTCACATGCAAGTAAGCAGGGGAAATTCACAGTACAGCAAGATGGTATTGATGCTAAAATGGGAGAAGATTTGAGTGCAACTGAACAGAGAATTTACCCTGTGGCACCTACAGAGATTAGCAATGTGGCCAGGAAATAACATCACAAAAGTGGAATAATATGGGCCA